ATGATATAAATAATCTTGGAACAACTTAGCGAAGTTAACATAACACAATCAATTTGGCAATTATTTGTTTTCTTGAGAAGTTGTATTTCACGATGGTGTTTGACCGAGTCCCTTGAGCTTCTGCGTCAAACCGATAATAAATATGATATAAATTTATTTATAATAGGTATAGTTTATTTATTTTGGGTGAAATATAAATTTTATCTTATGTCTTATGTTTTATATTCTTTTATTTTATTTTATTTTTAATAAACTTTCATATGATGGTAAATAATTGATAAATTTTGAAATGGTATATAACTCAAATAACAAAATTTGGAGTGATGATAACATGAACTTGTTGGAAATATAATATCCATTTTTGTCTTTTACCAAAATAATATTTCACTATACTTTATTAATCTTTTAATTGACGCATTGGTATGACACAAATCCTTTAATCTTAGTGAAAAAGAAAATAATCATTCAAATATTAACGAGCCTTGAAGTGACATATTGAACATGCAAATTTCACACAATTTAAATAACAATGATCATAAAATTCTTTGTTTTCTGGCCTTTAATTTTTCGTACAGTTTCTATTCGTTAGAACTCTAATTTATATATTTCAAAAAAAATTGTTAAAAATAATAAATTAGTCAATAAATATTTTAAATTTATTCTTATTGCATTTAAAATTAAAGTTTGAGTGATATTTTGATATCATAAATACTTATATTCTCAAATTACACAAAAATAAAATTTTTATATTATTTATTTCAAATATTCATTAATTTTCTAATAGAAAACCTTGATTAATTAAAGATATTTTAGAAAATAGGGATAGAAAATTATATGATTGTAATACTTACTAATAAATATCATTGTTATTCCAAAGTTTGAATTATGTAATTTATGAAATGCAGATAAACTCTTTCACTCCCCCCAAACGTGGAGTGATATTTTGATATCATAAATACTTATATTCTCAAATTACACTAAAATAAAAACTTTATATTATTTATTTCAAATATTTATTAATTTTTTAATAAAAAAATTTCAATTAATTAAACATATTTCAAAAAATGGAAATAGACATGATTATAATATTTACTAATAAATATCAGAACTACTTCCAATGTTTGGATTACGTAATTTATGATATGCAGATAAACTCTTTCACTTCCCCATCAAATCATTCATAGATTCTCCATCAAATCATTAATAGATGGTATAAGTATTGGAAAGTCACACCTTGAACCTATCTTGTGTCTATATATAGCTGTGATTTTTACACTCTGTCTCCAAAGAGGTTGAAATTCATAGGAATATGGACTCTGTTCAGATTTTCGATCTTAACGGAGAGCAAATTAAGACCTATGTCAGCAACGAGAAGAGTATAATCCTTGATGTTGTGCAATCTTTTTTGTTTTCCTCAGAGTTCGAGCAAGTGAAAGTTATTGGGATCGATATTGAGTTATCAATTTTAGGAGATAAAACCAAATGCGTCACATTGCATCTTTGTGATGGACAATCATGTCTTATTATCCAGCTTCTACATATGAAATCCATTCCAATGTCTCTGCTTAATTTTCTTCGTCTTCCGAATTATACTTTCGTGGGTGTTGGCATTAAAGATGATTTGCATAAATTGGAGGTTGAGTATGGGATCAGATGCAAAAATGCAGTGGATATAGGGCCTTTGGCTGCTTCTGTCATGAAGATGCCTCGTTTGAGTGGTTGTGGCATCGATGAACTAACCCGTGTTGTTAATAATCTTGATCTGCGAAGTCATAGACCTTTATTTGCTGTCTTTAAGAATTGGCGTGATCCTGAACTAAGCAAAAAGCTTGCTAAACTAGCTACTGTTAATGTTTACTCTTATTATAAAGTTGGGAGCAAATTGCTTGAACCTTGCACTTGATAATGTTCAATTATATTCTCTCTTTAATTTAAACAAAGTTTGTATTTCTTTGTAACCATGTCTGTTAAGACATGCCTATCTTGTATTTCTTTTTTTTCTAAGCTAAAAACTTCTTTTGTTACCATTGTCTTCTTCATGTAAAATAGCGCTAATTGTACCTAGAAATGTGGATCTTTTGTTCGATGTTGATGAATTGTCTTTGCATTGGTCTGATCTATTGACCTCTGTTATTGTTAAGTATGTGCAGTTCCATAGAAATTATATTTGATTGAGTAGACTCTGCGTTGAGTATTTTTGTCTCAAATTCAAGAAGCATCCACCCAATTCAAGAATTTTGTAATGGTTATGAATCAATCAGTGACAGCATGTTGCAATTGGATTTTTTTATTGGTTTAAGAACTTCGTGAACTTATTCAAACAAAAGAGTTGTTTGTTTGTTGCTAGCATATTATTGTCTCTTTTATATTTGGTAATAGAAACATTGTTGCCTAATACAATTTTAATTGTAACTAGTGGTTAATTTAACTGTGTTATGTGATATTCATTTTAAAAATGAGTATTTGATATTAGAGGTGATTATCCCTGTATGACTACATTAAAATGAATATAACAAAGATAACAGTATCCATATATATATATATATATATATATATATATATATATATATATATATATATATATATATATATATAATGTTTACATATTTTAATATGGGAATTCACCAATTGTGTTAAAAAAAATATTTTAAATTATTTTATATTTGCATTTTCTAACAAATAATATTAATAACATTCAAATACATTATATTTACATTATTGTAAAAATAACATAAAAAATATATATTTATGTTGTTATACAAGTAATAGGAAATAAATAACTTTGGAAAGTTAAGAAAATGGAATGAAAAGAAGTGGAATGATGTATGAGTTGAAAGAGGAAAGGAAGGACACTTGGTACAGGATGCTGGAAATGATGACTTTTATATGGTTAAAGATCTTATAAAAAGTTGTATAGAGGAAGATATAATATTATGGGGTTTAAAGGCATTATTATTTGTCTAATATTTTTCATGGAGTATGCTAAATAGACTAGCTACCAAGGGATAAATATATTTTCAGATTGAGTGTTTCAAAAAAATATTTTCAGATCTGGAAATATATTTCAGAACACTCAGTTTAAAAATTATTTTTATATTTAAAATTAGGTGTTTTAAAAGGTATTTATAGATCTAGAAATATTATTTTTGAAACATCTATTCTAAAAAAAAGTATAAAAAAAACATTTTAGAACAGGAATTCCAAAAGATATTTCAAGATTCGGAAATATCTTCCAGAACACTAAATTTGAATTTTTCATTTATAATTTAGATTGGGATGTTTCATAATATATTTCCGGATTCAAAAAATATCTTCAAAAGCCTCCATCTGAAATATAAAAAATTAATTTGATTTAATGTTTAGAAGGCATTTTCAGATACGAAAATACTTACCAAAACATCCAAATGTCTATTTTTTATACTTTTTAGATTGGGTGTTCAAAAAAGTATTTCAGAATTTGATCTAAATGTAAAAATATTTTTCTGATTGATTGTTCCAGAGGACATTTCCAGATCTAGAAATACCTTTCAGAGCATTCAATCCAAAGGTCATCCTATCACTAGGGAATTAAAGGGGGTCTATTTGTGTCCTTCAAGCCCTCAATTCTTCCTCAGTCCTAGTCATTAATCAATAACCTAAAAGGAGGCGTAATGACAATCAATATCAAAGAAGGTATTGAGAGACGTAGGAGATGAATGTGTAGGAAAACTTGAAGATAAAAGTGTAGAATGATGCAGGAACCAAGGTAAAATGAAAAGGAGAGAGGTATAAGGTTTTTACTATGACTTAGGGCTAAAGTTGGTAATTTTAATAGGGAACAAGAAGAAAAATGGGGTGTAGGAAGAAAAGTCCTTGGATTCAAGTTAATTAGGCTCAAATGATTTTATCTTTCATATCTCTTTTTTCCTTTGATTTTGTTTCAAATTAACTTTAAACACAAAAAAATACATGTCCATTAGAAGAGATGTATCAAGTCTTTTTACACAAATGACAAGATGTTTCCTTTCAATTCGAGTACTTCTAAGTTAGAAGTGTGAGATGCTGCAGTAACACTCTCACGCTTAAGCCATATATTTGTATAAATAATCAATAAAAACAATATTAATTACGTAAATATTATTTCATAAACTTTGCTATTTATAATATTATCATAAACATCTACTTGAATGAGCCTAAATTATAACTTTTCTAAGTAACCTTTTTGAGTATTACTTGACTTGTTTACTTAATCCTTGATTAATGGTATTAATTTTATCATGATTACTAATGCCGAGATGTTATTTCTCATTTATTCTTTTATAGTCTATTTCATTTGTTTTGCACTTAATGTAACCTTCAAACTAAAAAACTTGTGATTAAGAATTTTATCGACATGAGTTACAAAAGTTATGATTAAAATTTTATTTTAATCTTTTAAGTTCACAGACAAATAAATTTTCTTCTAAAATTGTTAAATTGCGTTATGAAAGAGGAAGAGATGTTGAATAAATATTTAAAATTTAAAATGGAAAATAAAATACTGTATAATTTATATATATTTTTAAAAGTAAACAATTACTCTATTTTTTTTATTTCAATCCTTTGATATTTTAAAGCGAACATGTACCTTTTTTATTTATCTTTTGGAACGATTTCTTCTTTGGAAACTTCAAGCGACCGATAGATAATAAATATGATATAATTAATCTTGGAACTAAGCAAAGATAAGATGATGCATTTAATCTAGAATTTATTTCCCTCCTTAGGCCGTTGTATTTCACGATGGTGTTTGGTTAAGTCCCTTGAGCTTCCTGCACCAAACTCGATGCATGAGATTGTTCTAGCGTGTTACAACGGTGAACGCATTCTGTATCTCTATATATAGCCCTCACCTTTGTTTTGTCATTGAAGCCAGGTTAGTCTTTAGCTAATCGCACTCCGTTTCAATGAATTCCGAGGATGAAATCGATGTGAATGGAAAGCGGTATACAACTTATTTATTAAGAAATAAAGAGGGTATAGACAATGTTTTGAAATTTATGTTTTATGACTGTGTATCCAGGATTGTCGGTTTGGATATAGGACAAAGTAACACATTATATCCTTGGGGTGAATTTACATTATATCTTTGTGATGAATTTACATGTATTATTATTCCTTTACTGCAACTGAATTCGATTCCCGAATCGCTGATGAATTTTCTTTGTCTGCCGGACCATACTTTTGTTGGCGTTGGCATTGAGGGAAAGATGGGATTGTTGGAGACGCAGTTTGGGATTAGATGCAGAAATGTCGTGGAATTAGGGCCATGGGCTGCTGATGTATTGGGCATGCCTCATTTGGGAACATGTGGTATTGATAAACTCGCTCTTGAAGTTGTTGGGTTTGATCTTGGAAGATGGAGACGTCGGAGTCGGTTGTATGAGGATTCTTATGGTGATTTACTTCTTCCAACTGTCAATGTTTGTTGTTGCTACCAGATTGGGAGGAAATTGTTTGAGAAACCTGCTATTTCTTCGAAGATTAGGAGGAAATTGTTGGAGAAACCTGCTATATCTTCGAAGATTGAGAGGGAATTATTGGCGGAAAGAGTTGCTATTTCATCGAAGCGAGGACGTGTGATTCGTAGGAAGAATTGGCTTGTGTGGTTTGGATTTTGTAAGTCAAGATTTGCAGTGTTTGTAATGATTTTTCTAGTGTTCGTAGGATGTATTATGAACTTTGATGGGTTTAGAAAATCAAAATTGTGAAAGAAGAAAAGAAGGGCGGTGGAATAGATAAATTCTTGGTAGGAGAAGTGTTTTTCTTTGTTTTGTTTGAGGTTTTGTGTAATCTGTCCTTCTTAGTTTTTATCCAATCTTATTTATCTGAAAACACCTTACTAGAATAATCTTCGTTGAAAACATTTTATTGCACTATACTTCAGAGAAACCGAAGGATAAGAAAATAAGGGAACAGAGAGGAGTGCAATTGTATATTCTTATTATTGACATTAAAAATGTACATTGCTTTGACTTAACAATCATCATATATATATATATATATATATTTATTTATATATATATATGTGAAGAGAAGAGGGAAAAAGTTAACGAGTTCTAAACAATATTCTAAGTAAAACAATAACCATAAAACTATTTAAGCATATCAAAAAAGTATATTATAAAACTTTTGTAATTTACTTTGTGGAACCATTCTACGGAGTTTAAATTGTTTTTTTAGAGTGTTATTGTATTTCTTTTTAGGATTTATGCCAACAGGAGATAAGTATTTTAACCTGGAGTTTTTTTGTGTACTTTTGAGTAGCTTATAAAATGTATGTGTTCATGTTGTTTGTGCACAAAATAGTCTAGTCTAAGTTTTTACAAATTGATTTCTGTTTCTCAAAGAAAAAGCTTATTGTTAAAGGTTTCTCATGAGCCAAAAGTCGCCGTTGTCATATCTTGACTTGAAATTATTTCATATTTCAAAATCCATCGAAAATTCGGATAATAAACCGAAAGACAAAAGGGTTTATTGATATTGAAAATGACCAAAACAATGGCACGACCACTGTTTATATAAGAATAAAAGAAGACTATAGAACAAGATAAAAAAATATATCTTTTAAGTAATGTTGTCTAAAACAAGATAAAAAAAATATGATTATAAAGATTGCAATAGAAGAAACCTATTAGACCGTTTAATCCAACCTAGACAACAAAATTATTTAAACATAACTCCAACAAATGTTGGAGGTAACTTGGATTGTCTAATGAGGAAGGTTAGGTGAGTCTCGTAATGATTAAATTGTGGATTTAATGTTTCAAGTCTTTATTTTTGTCCAGAATTTCAAATAGTTTCTTTTTTGGCGTCTCAATGGGTCCTAATTTTATTTAATTTGATGCAAATAAATCTTTTCCGTCAATTTTATTAAAAGGTGTTAATGAGTGTGTGACGTGGCCTGGTGACTCTGCATTTTATTTTATTTAATTTGATGCAAATAAATTCTTTCCGTCAATTTCATCAAACAACGTTAATGAGTGTGTGACGTGGTCTGGTGACACTGCATTTTTAATACACGTGTCAATAAAAACATGTGTAAATGCAATTTTTTAAATTTAAAATTAAAGAATTAAGTAAATATATTATAATTTTTGTTGAAATTAATTAAAGAAAGGGCAAAGATAGAAAATGATATTGTTCTTTTTGCTGAAACATGCCTTCAAGTGGGAAATCAAAATTAAATTGGGAGAATTTTGTATTTTAGGGCTCGTGTCTCATAGCTGGAAAAGAGTGGATGCGCGAGTGTTTTAAGAATCAGAAAGACGTTGTTGTTTGAGTGGATGCTCGAATATTGGTAAGTGAATTCCTCTCCTAAATTTTGAACCTCCATTGAAGAATCTACATCTTGTAAATCATTGTTTCCAGCTTGCTGAGTAAACTCACGTAATTCCAAACAACTTTTGAAGACACTCTTTCTCTTCATACAAGATACAGCCCCTTTTGAATCAGTTTGCAAAAGATGATTTTCTTAGATTTTGAATCACTAAGATTTCCTCAGTGCAACAATTAATTTCCCCCTGTCTTTGAGCTTCCAACAAGAGCCCGGAAGTATCATCACCTACCTTAGTGTCATAACTACTAGAAGCATCCAGCAGACTAACATAATCAGCAGTCCAAGCATTTTCATCAGATATGATAGTGCCTAAAACAGATTTCTCATATAACGTAAAACAAATATAGCAACTCTTATATGATAGTGCTTTCTCATATAAAGTAATGTTTATCTTCATCAAATATTTTTGTTACTGATAGATTTGTGCTATCACGTTTGTTACCGAATATTTATTAACATACATGTTAATATGTATATATATTTTTAAAATTACAAGTTTGCATGAAAGTACTTGACCCTATACTATAGAGAATTTGCCTGATAATTATATATATCAAAGGAAGCAGTTGAAGGAATGAAGAGAAAGGAACTGAGAGAAACAAGCTATATGATATATCATATGAATATCAAGGTATATTGAATTCGATCCTGTTAGTAAAGCGGATCTAAGCTTTGGAATTGAACTTTAGAAATTGAAAAGATCCTCAAGCTTGCATATCAGAGTTTGCATAAGTACATTAGCTTTGATTTGTACATAGCTGACAGGAAAAGCATAAGCCTAGGGAGTTCAATAATACTTTTTACTGCATAACACTAAAGACCGTTGTGTGGATCTTCCAGCTGATTCATACGTACTGATATGGTAGGAGAGAAGTACTGAGGAGTATTAACAGTTTGCAAGAAGTACTGATTAAAAATGCAAGAAGTACTGATTAAAAAATCGCATTCACACACATTTTTATTGACACATGTATTAAAAATGCAGTCTCACCAGGCCACGTCACACACTCATTAATGTCGTTTGATGAAATTGACGAAAATAATTTATTTGCATCAAATTAACAAAAATAAGGACCCGAGTCCCCAAAAAATAAAGGGACCTATTTAAAATTCTGAACGAAAATAGGGACCTATTGAGACATTAAACCTTAAATTGTGATATTTAAAGTATTACTTTAAGTCTAAAGAGTTGCACTCTAAATATTAATTATAATTTTTAACTTAGTAACAACTTAAAAATTTTGTAAAAACATAATGTAAATTATAATTACAAGTAAGAAAAACACAATGTAAGTTATAAATGTATATTGGGTTTTTAAATATTGTTACATTCTATGTTTCGGTTTTAAAATCTATTTTCTTAATTTTGGTCTAATTATCTAGTTGTTTTAGTTTAAAAAATATTTTATTTCTTTTAAACAAAATTTTGAATATTAATTGTTTTACCTTAAGAAGAAGCTTAATAAGTTATTTGTAAATCTGGAAGCTAGAAGACCATAAGCCAACAATTATCGAATTTACTAGTTGAATTCTTCCCATCATACTAAACAACTTCATTTTTCAACAAACAAGTTTATTATGAAACTTATCAACCAAAAGTTGAACAAAAATCGCGCCTTAGGAACCCCCACAAAAATTGACACACCTAAATACGTAAGAAGAAGAGATCCTTGATTACAGGAGAGAAGCCTCTTGAGATGTCTAACAAATGAAGCATAAACATCAGCGGTGTAAAAATGACTTTTAGGAGGACTTGCCCAGTGACTTGAGAAAGTGTCATATTCATGCAAGAAAGATTTCAAATGTTCTAGGGTACTAGTATCTCCTCTACATAAAACAAATATACCATCAACATAGAGAGTATGAGAAGGAAATTGTATCCATAGAGAGCCAACCATGAGAAACATAAACTTTTTACAAATAAGCTTTGAGATGCCCCTATTCAAAATCTCCTTAGCAAAATAAAAAAAGCAAATGAGAGATAGAACTCCCTATCTAACCCTTCTATCGCAAGTGAAGTAACCAACCAAATCACCATTAACTTGAATAGAAAGATGAGCAGAATTGTAAGATATGAAAAATACACGACAAAAAGTTATCACGAAAACCAAAACAATGCAACACTTAAATTAAGAAATGTGAATTGATGATATCAAAAACCTTAGTTATATCAATCTTGATGGCTACATTACCACCCTTAAGCTTTTTAGAGAGAAGATTAATAACTTCAAAAGTAATACAAATACAATCTTTAATACTTCTCCCTTTAATGAAATCATTTTAATTAGGGAAAGTAATCCTACTAGAAATTATTGTAAGCCTATAGGCTAAAATTTTTGTAATGATTTTGAAACAAATATTAGCCACTACTGTAGGACGAAAATTAGTTATATATTTTCCCTCATTAACTTTAGGAATAAGAGTAACAATATTTGAATTCATACTAGGAAGGATCCTACCCTGTCGAAAGAATTGTTGAACAACTTTACAAACATCAACAATATCCAAAAATGAGTGATGAAAATATCCATTAAAGTCATGTAGATCAGGAGCTTTATCACCGTTAAGAGAAAAACTGCATGCTTCACTTCATCAAGATTAAAATATTTAGTCAAAAAATTATTTTCATCATCAGTAACTAGGAAGGAATACAAGAACCAACAAAAGACTATATAAAAGTAATATAAACATCAGAAGTAGTAAGAGAAACATATAAATTAGTATAGAAAGACAAAATAGAATCTCCAATCATATTTGGATAAAAAATAACTTGATCATCATGATGCAACTTAAAAGTACCCCCCTTGCATTATGCTTCTTGTGAACCCCCAACATGAAAAAATAGCCTGACATGATAATCTAGAGTAAAATTGAAATCGTCTTTTATCTTGGCCTCACGAATTAGCAAAACATCCAAATCAAATGAAGAAGCATTTGAAAGTTGTTGTTGAATATTTAAAAGAAAGCCTTGATTATCCACCACTAATTTATATATATATATATATATTTCCAAAAACATTTTTATTCAACCCTTTCAAACCAACCTCAAGATGTTGCAATTTCCTTTACAAAATCAACATAGGACAACAAGAAGTAAGAGCATTCCAAGAACTATTGAGGAGGAAATGACAATCTTTATGACTTCTACATATTTAGAAACCGAAAAGAAGATGGTTTAGAAACCCCAACCAAATAAGAAAAAAAAAGGAACAAATGATGATGATCCAAGCAATTTTGAGTAAAAACATTAACATGACAAGAAGATCAATGCTCAAAACAAAGAAAATTAAAAAAATTCTATCAAATCTTCTATTAATACGATGTATACTTCTTTACACGTTTGACCAAGTATAGTAAAATTTAAAAAATGCAGCCACAACAAGTTCATTAGAATTGATCCAACTTGAAAACTCAACAAAAGAAATTGAAACAGGGGCAACACCACCCTTCATATTCTCAACCCAAAGAATAACATTAAAATCATCCATGATATACCAAGAATTATGAATATTAACTACCATGCCACAAACAGTGTGAAAGGTCTTGTACCATAAATTCCAATAACTTATAATTAACTTATAATTAAAATTTAAAAGAAATAAATTTAAATAAGAGAATTACATTTTATTATAAATTACTATATTGTAATAAAAAAATATTTTAAATTTAAAAAGAATAGATAATCACGATATAGAAGAAACATAATTTAGATAAAGTGTTTTTCTTTTTAAATTGAGAAATTGTGTGGAACATACTTCCTCAGGAAATAAGACGGGTGGATTATTTTTATTTTTATCTTAGATAAGAGGGGAGAATGAGTTTCTTTTCTAAAAATATTCATAATTACATAATGAATTTTGTACTTAGTTTATAAAAGATGTTAAACTCTTAACTAGTTAAGAATTACTTTATATAACTTTTTCAATCATTATTATAAAAAATTGCAAACTTTGATTGTGATTTGTATTCGGGTGAAAGAGTAACTCTATCTTTTTTAACAGAAATGAACCTTAATTTTCTTGTAACGCGGATTTTCTTAGTTTTTCTAACATTCAATTGTCCTCAGAAGTATATTTCCTCAGTGATTTTTTCGAATCGGAAGAGCCAAGCAAGCAGATAGTTTAATTTGCACAGAGCATCACAATTTCAACTTTCAACGACAAAAAAGGGTTTGCTAATCATCCCTTGTCCTGGCCCGAATTCCAACTTCTACAGGTACAAGCGGTTCTAAACATTATCCAATTGTTTTTGCAATTTTGCCAGTGGAGAGAAGACACATGGTAAAATAATCATCATCGTAGCAGTTATAGGATTTTAATCCTTTTTTCTAATTAATCATATCTAACACTTTTCTTCTTCTTCTCGAGAAGAGTGGTTGGTAATCGATATGGAAGTAACTGCAATCAATCATCGTTTTGAATTGAATTTCTGATATGGAAGACGTGGAGTGACGTCGTTTAGCCGATACTCTTACTTATTCAACCCTTAAATGTGTGTTCATTCTCACTTTTAGTCACAATCCATAATAGCCTTCAATTTCTGCATATGGGTGACTTCGAGCTTTCCTAAACCCTTCAATTGATGCTTCAAGTTTAGTTTTTTTTTTTTTTTTCATTATTTGATGGTGTTGCATAATTTAGGATCAGTTCCGAAATGTTTGAAGTGAATTATCTAATTTGACAATTTTCTAGTTTATTTCACCTTCTTTGATTTGCATCAGGATTAGTGTTTTTTTCTGGTGACGTTTCTCGGTTCTCAGCCTGGAAGCAATTCTTGTAAGTACTGTTGCATCGGTGTAGCTTGTGGCAGCGGAGTAATGTTTTAACCCTTTTTGTTTGTGCTATGTTTCTGCAGCTTTAGTCTGCGATGATTATTACTCTTTTAAGTCTGTGCAGTGGGAGAAGCCTTGTATGACGGAAAGAGTGGCAGAAATAGCAGGAAGAACACAAGGGTCTTAGCTGGGCTCATTGCTCTCAACAAAAATGCTTATAGACAACAGGTACACTCTCAAATCAGTTCCATTAACACACTCAGCTATATATAAGAAATCAGCAAGCTTCTTATCCTCTTTAATCTCAGATTCTTCTTATCAAGGTTTTAAATTGCAGAAGCAATGTGTTCACGGTGAATCCAAAAACCTTAGGCTATAGACCGGTTTTGGAAACCATGTTTCTAATTGGTCGATTATCGTTTCAAAAGTGTAATGTAGTCCCATTGAATTTCGTGTTGCTTTATCTCTGATCATGAATAAACTTAGTTGTCTTTCAATGGCATAAGTTATGGTATCATTTTTTTATTTTTGCACAAATATGGCAATCTTCCTGTGCATTCTGATGCCATATTCCTATTTCAATAATTCTACTTTACAGATCTTCTGCAGGAGTAGCCAAAACAGGGTTTATTCGGTCAACTTGGTGTATTGGTAGTATCGTACACTCAAAACCATTAGCGATTCCCCTCCTCTCTTTTCCCTCCCCCTCCCTGAGTAGATAATTATATTCTGGCTTCTTCCAATGAATTATTTTTGTTATTTTGTACTTTTGCAAGACATTGAGGATGGCTAGGCTCTTACTATTTCTCGCACTTGCACATGCCCAGTTTTTGCTTCTTGAAACTTGATCATATTGTGACAGCTAATATTTTTAAACTATAAATTAATTTACTCAAGTTTATTTAACAGAGTGGCCTGTATTTGGTGCTAAACGTTATTTGTTCAGTCTGCTACTTTATTTAACTTGATGGAATTATGCAGGAACAGATCATGTTCATCGGCTGTCAGAAACAAGTCCTATTGTTCTGCAGGTTTAATTACATTATTCTTGGTTTCCTGAATTACCAGATTGTTGAAAGTTATTATCATTGAGAATTATATAATTGCTTCAAATTTTATCGTCTAATGTTTCTTATGGTTTTTTTTGTTTGATATCAAAACTTGTCACTAAGATTCTTTATACGGCTCAAAAGAAAACACCTAACATCTGCCTCTGTCTGACAGAAAAACTATTCAAATGTTATTCACTTTTAACTACACTGTTGCAGTGCTATGAGTCTTGATAATTGATTCAAACTAATAAAAAAAAAATTGGACGTTACATAACCAACTTGTACACTCGAGTATTCTACAAGCGCACCCTTTCTTGTATCATAAGCTATTGCTATTTGGTTATTTAGGATTTAACTCCTCAAGTAATTAAGTAGAGTTTAGAGCAAGAAAGAAAAACAACCCATTCTTGATTTAAATTAAAGTATTTTGTAATCGTAGTATACTCACTTTCTCAATTTACATGCAGCAGCTAAATCTTGTAATTGAGAAACCTTTTTGCATTTTGTTTTCATTCTTGGAAATGCACTTGAAAAGATATGCTGTGGGTAATTTATTGAATTGATAGCTAGATAAGTAAAGGATCCACTCAAATGATGTTAATTAGAACTATTTAAACCTGTGGAGGTAGCATAATTCAGGTGATTGTAAAACAGGCCCCTCCCCCACGCACACCAAAAATTAACATGGAGATTTTATTTTTTCTGAATAAGGCGTGCTATTCGAATTTCATGATGCGGTGCCAGGCTTTTCCATTTTTTTGGTGGGGGCAGGTTATTGCTGCTGTTGATTCACGTTCATACTCGGCTTGTCAATCAAAGAAATCTTTAGATTTTTATTCGTACTTGGGATTGCTTGTGGGTGAGAGAGGAATAAGAAACTAAATTAAGCCTACGAGGCAAGATAAGAAGTGTGGCTCCACTACTACTGTAGGCACCACACGATTAAGATTCGTTGTCTGCTCGTTGCATTCCTAAAACTTTAACTCTAAAAATATTTTCTACATTGAAATTGGACATAAAAGGCGTACCATGTGATAAACGGAGCCAAAATATCCGTTTCATGAACTCGTGCTGCTTTTCATGTTGAAATTATGATTGATGGTGGAAGTTGTTGTGGATTCTAAAAGGATCGTGGGCTTATTCCCTTTGTAAACAAAGTTTAATATATATTATTTGTTTAATGAAGTCAACAAGGCCTAGGCCGAAATAATGGAAGAAATAGGGAAATGAAGAGACAATTTTGGCTTTAGAAGAAGAGAGCAGGGTAACCGATCATTCCCCACTTCGTGGTGAAGGATTTGAATTGGATGCAATGTATTTGGCATTTGCCGTTAAAGAGAAAGAAAACGAAAGCGTAGAAGAGAAAAAGAGAGAGCTGGTCCCAGTGGTTTGTTTGACGGTGGCGTGTCGTATGTAACATCTCACAATATGTTACCCTATGCCTATCTATCCGTGAACGGCTATATATCAAAAACTTCAATTATTCTTCTTCACAATGAGAGCCTCACCTGCTCGATAAAACAAAACTTGTAAACAAGCACGAGACCTATCTTTGATACCTTCATAAATAAAGCTAACATGTGTCGTTATCAAGATCTATTCCATCATAGTGACCATATCACACTCCTTATGCTAAGCTTGTATAATTTTTTCTCCTTTTGCTTATGTTCTTCTTTAATTCCCCCCGTCTCCGCCACTCTTCAATCCGTGAATAGATTGCATCGCGTGCAGGATACAGAGAGCCATTAACTCACGCACCTCAAAATGGATCGGAGAGTAGTTGAATTACTCTTCCTATTTATAACCTCCTCTCCATATTGGGACAACGCTTTTACCACCATATCCTCCTAATTTCAAAACCCATTTATCTATAATTACTTTTCGATCGATTCCGGGAACAAAACAAGCCAAACCAAGTTTCTACACCAATTGTTCGTTCCCGTTTAAAAACCTTAACCTAACAATCTTCACTGCTGTACATCTGTGAAATCAATGCACATTCCTTCAACTAGAACAAACAAAAATACAAGACAAAACGAGGAGTCAGAATCAGAATATTAAAAAGAAGACAGAAGTCTATTTGCCTATTTCTTTTTTATCATTTCCACACACCCCAACCCGCCAATGAATGCTTTGTTCCCTTTTCTTTCTCTTCTTTTCTTGGGAGGAGGTTTGTTTTTTCTATACCATAATAAGAAAATTAACATCGAAGCAAAATAAACTACAACTAGGAGTAGTCCCTGCATTAGATCATAATTCATCTTGTTATACAGACATAGTAATGATCGATGGGCTATGTGCAAAAAGCTATAAACTGGGTTTTACAAGTATATATATCATCATGATCACTAATATTACCATCGGTCAGGAAGAAAAATTACATGTACCATTACTAGAGTTCTCACCTAACTCTCATAGGAAAAAGTCAGCAAAAAATAAACCACATAGAAGCATGAGTAATGGAGTTATCATCTCTACTCTTCTTTCAACATGTGTGAGGGAACAACATCTTGAAGAAGTCCATGGTCCCTTAGAAATGCATTCGTCCCCGAATTACAAAGCCGTCTCTCTTGAGTAAAACCCGCGTTCTTTGGAGTGGAAGAATCATTGTAAGGGAAACCCAAAGAGGACAATGTGTTGAAAATAAGTTGTTGATGTTGGTGCTGCTGCTGATAGTGGGATAAGTAGTTTCCTGCTTGTGGAAAAACTGAAGTAAAGTTGGTAGCGTATCCAGCGGGGACGCCTGAGCGAGGCATAACTGGGCTTGGATGTGTGTGTTGGCCTTCGTAGGTTGTGACTACCACGCTTGGATCAGTGAAAGATCGTTCCACGCGTTTCTTCACATTACATGAAACACTGGTGCAACGATAGTAACTCCTACATGTGATCCACACATAGTATATTCCAAATGTTAAGGCTATTTAATTAATTAATTAATTAATTTGTTTGGTGTAACTTGTGAGTGAATTAAACGAATTAAGATAAAGTAGGGAAGGAAGGAAAAGTAGGTAGGTGCAGGCACTGTAAGACTTGAGATTAGAGTTTACCGGGAGAATTAAATCGGATGTTACCTGGGAAAAGGGCTGTTTTTCACGGCCTTTTGACCGTACTTCCTCCATCTGTACCCATCTTCCAGATGATCGACCTCGCTTTTCGTCATGAACGCGAATCTTGGTTCTCTCTGTCTCTTCTGATTTGTCTTCTTGGGCTTCAACCTAAACCCAATAAGAACCAGATCCCAGAAACCATCAAATCTTAGAACCTTCCTCACATCAACCACATCACATGTATTCTTATTTTATCTCAAAAGCAAAACATAACTTAACAAAACAAAATGTACCCCATGATCTCGTTACTTTATCTAATTGGATCGTCAAACACCTTCTCCCTTGCTATACATATTAAACCCAAACAACATATAAAAACACGTACTTTATACTAGAGAGACCATCCCAAATTGTGTGTTCTTCACATCCCATCAACCATTCATTTCTAAAATTAACTTTTTAAAGCCAAAGCTTCACCGCCCCGCCCCAACAACCACAAAAAATGAAAACAAAAGCTATACTAGACTAAGGTAGTCTTCCGTGAGAAGATACCGCAGTCTTAATAAAAAAACACTGAATACTTGCACAAAGCCAAAAAAAAAAATCCACCATATATATCAGTAATCCTTTCACTAGAAAATAAAAAATTCCAGTAATCCCCGAGAAAAGAAAAAGTGATGAGATAAATAGGAAAAAACCCACTGTTTCTTAGTCTTTTGTTGTCCTTCTTCTTCTTCATCGTCATCTTCTTCAACTTGATCTAGAGTCTTATTCTGTTCATCATTGACAGCATCACTGGATGCAGATGAAATAGAAGAAGAGTTCGGAGTGGCGGGTTGGTGGTTCAACACCTCGGAACACTCTTTTCCGTTATCAGGTGGAGCCTTAACTGTAGAGTGATGAGGCACAGAAACGGTTGAAAGTTGAGGCAACTCAAGCAGAGGACTGTAATCCTGCACACCCAGTAGCTCCATAAACCCTAAAGAGCTCTTTTCCACCTCAGAGAAATCAAAGGTGTTCGAGAATGGATAAACGTTTGAATTATAACAAGGGAAGGAAGAGGACCCAACCGCATCCTCAGTCTTCACAACCATCTCCTTCTTCTCCATATATACCAAACGCGTTGATCTCTCAAATGCTCAAATCCTTCATCTCTCACACGCCACAAACTCGAACTTAACACTAGTGAGAAGTGGAGAGAGGTAGGGTTGATCTGGTTTATAGCTTAGGTGTGTGTGAAAGAGAGAGAGAAAGTTTGTGAGTACTTTTGGATTTAGAAGAAAGTGAAAACGGTGTGGAAGGAACAAAGATAGAAATGAAGGCGAGATTTGACCGGCAAGTGTAGGTCATGGACTGGTAAGGACAACGCTGAGCCGGTGGCAATCAATGCATGCCATGGTCGACGCTTTCATACGTAGCATTTGACCCCTTAACCGGTTTAGGATGTGTGTGAAAGGGGTTCCGTCATCTCCTAGATTCTAACGGCGTTAAATGATTTTTTTTTACTCTCCCTCGTTTCTAAAAATGCCAAATTGTAATAATAGTGTTCACTCGTGTGCAAGTGATCTACGAAATCTGATCAATCCTTCAAAGTTTATCGTCGTTTTCTTAATTCTTTAGTTTTCTTTTTCTCTTTTGCAACCTACCTTTTTCATTATTATTTTTTCTTTCACTTTGTGAAGCTTTTGCAGCGGGTTTTGATATTACGCCAACTTGTCTTACAAACCAACGTAGCACAGGGATTCGCGAATAGGTTAGGAAAAAAGTCATAAAAAAATAGATGGCGCGACATGGCTAAACAAAACTAATCTTAAATCCTTAAATAAATTGATTAAATCAGTGAGCCTAATTTCCTCCTCTTGACTCTTGTGAAATCAACATTTGAAATTCCCAAAAAAGCAAGTTCTCGTAAATGAAAAGGGCAACCCTATTTACTACATGTTGTATTTTGTTTGGTGTATAAAGACAATAGTTAAAAGAAGTAGAGTGAGGAAAACTAGCAAACAGGGGATTATTATTGTTCATCCATTCATATAGAGAGAGAAATATACTTATATGATTCGTTTATGGTTAAACAGGGAATTGTACCACAGTGAGTGTTCCAATGAGAATATACCTCATTGCTGATGGAAGATTTGGGTTTGGTTGATTTGGATTTGGTGTATAAATCGGAAAGAAACTGATCCGGTTATAGTTGAGTGTAAGATAATAATATTCATAAAAACTTTTGTTGCTAAATCTCACATCCGACCATATCTGACGGAGGAAGTCACACATAAAGGATTCGGAGCCACAAACCTTAAGTTGTGTGAATATCTCTAAGAAAGTCAGCACACCCATGTGTTGTCGGTGGATGTAATTTTTTTACAGGCAAAACTATAAAACCCTTACTAAAAATGTTCTTCAACTTGCATCCTTTATTGTTGATTTTTTTTGTACGGGGATTAGAGTTTGAAAGCAAAAAAGAAGAGAGAAACTGCATAAGAAAAAAGAAAAAAAAAAGTAGCATAAGAAGATGTGGAAGGGAGTGTTTTATTATGTGATGAGAAGAGAATGGAAAAAGGTTGCACGTGTGGTTTTAAGTGAGCCACGACCACGAGAAGCATGCTGACATATGGTTTCCGAGTGAAAGTACTTGACTGCTATCCAGCATGCGTCTCAATAATTAGAATTTGTTCTTCTCTCATTTTGAAGATATGGGCATGAATGTATGTTTACAAATGAAGGAATAGAGAAAAACCATGATAAAGTTTTGAAGGCTGAGAGCTCCTTTATATTTTTCTCCATTATGTTTCTCATCACTCTGTTGAGACAGTACCGTATACTTAGAGTGCGTTTTAGTAACAATAAATAAGTTGTTGGAGTTTTCTGGAATGAATAGCTTCTGTGAATGTTGAAGATCTGTTAGGGATGTACCTTGTTGTACGTCACCTATTCTTCTGGATGCATGCCCGCAGAAAAATCAACTTCCTTCATCCCTTATAAATTTAATTAACTTCACATGGTCCCTACTATACTATTCCCTATTTCCTATTCCTTCTATAATTATTGTATACAATGATTTATGATGCAAAATTCAAATTTGACTTCTAATTTTGAAGGTTTCGGATAGGAAATCTTGTCTTAATTTTTAATATACATTTCCTCATAGTTTGCTGAGCTTGTAAAGATTTTCATTTTCTTTCTATATTGCTGGCAGACATTGTTTTGAATTTATAACACCTTAGTTAGACCGAAAATTCAACATTTAATCATAAACAATTAATCCATTAAAATAAAAACTCAAAAAACAAAATATATGAAAACTAAAACCAAACTCATGAGAAAGAAAATACAAAACAAACTCCTTTTTAACAAAAACCAGCTATTAAGAAAAAATTATAGATTAATAACTAGAAAAAGAAAATCAGACCATTGGAAGTTTTGTCTTTTATCGATCTCTAAATTTGCAAGGTTATCAATACGAGAATTCTCTTCGTGAAAGATATGGGTTACTTTTATACTTTGTAACATCAAAACTTTCCAAGCCTTTTTGTCCTCTCGGTAAAAACCATCACAAATAAATTTGATGAGAATTTCATTTAAGTTTGATTATCTTCACAATAAAAAAAATACTTTTTCATTCTATACTTATAATACATTTCATTCCAAGTTTGATTATTTACTCGAATGAATTTTATTAAAAAAAATCTGTCAATAGTTATTGAGAAATATTTATCGATATATTTATTTTTTATCGGTATTATTGACAAATTTAAAAAAAATTCAATCTATTGATAAAATTCAATTATGAATTTTTTATTATAATAAGATGTTGGTATTTTTTGTTTAAAGATGAATCTTAAACATTAATGATCATTTTTATCGAGATCCGAAGTGTGAATTTTTGAATATGTGGCAAAATTTGAGTAGATTTGAAAATTCTTATAAATTCTCCTGAAGGTGAAATAAAATGAAAGATTTATTTGTAAAAGAGTCTCTCAAATAAGTAAAAAAGTTTGAATCTTTTGAATAAAAAAGAGTAAATTTGAAAAGGTGTATTTTATGATA